CCTGGGCGGCGGCCCGGACTCCGGGGTCCTCAGCCGAGCCGGGAAGCCGGGCAGCCCGGGTCCGCCGCGTACCGTCAACGGCCGGAGCGCGGACCCGCCCCGGAGGTGCCTCGCGGCGCCTGCGCGGGTCTGCGGCCGGAGCACGGACCTGCCCCCGGAAGTGCCTCGCGGCCCCGGAGTGGTTCCGGTTCCGGCGAGGCGCCTGCCGTTCTCCGAGGTCGGTTGCAGCTGTCGGTCGGCAGTAAGGAGCCAAGATGCTGCGAAACCTGCTGGTGAGCGTCTCGGGGGGCGTTTGCGGCCCGGGGAAGGGGTGGCGGCCGGTCAGCGGGAGGGCCTTCGGGCGGGGGTGGCCTGAGGTCGCCGCGGGCCGTGCCCTTCCCGCTGACCTTGCTGCCGTCGGGCTGGGCGGGGACCCGGGAGGGACGGTTCTGAACCCCGGAAGCCTCAGGCCCGGAGGCGTCCCCTGATCCGGGAAGATTGCGTCCCAAGGGCTCTGCGCCTCGGCGTCGGAAGGCGGTGTGAGCAGCAGGGCCATGGATCTCGGGAGGGACTTGGGCGGTCGTGGCGCCAGGGCGGCGTTGCCGCTCAGGCGGTTCTGCAGTGACCTTTCACCCTCCGCCGGCCTCGGCATGTGAAGGATTTCCCCAGAATGTCTAAAAAGAGAAGGAAAATGGAACAGTGATGACTGACTGTTGTAATTATTCAGGAAGGTTTTACTTAGCTTCTCAATATGTCATTGACTTTAGAAAGTAGAGTGCGTATTTGTGTCCTTATTTACTTCAACTATGTATACAAGTGCAAGTCTGGTTTTAAAAGATTATAGTCTGTTAAAGATTTTTTTGGAAAAATTTAGTGCCGGAATCATTTTAATCAAGTAGGAACCATGCCAGTATATTTTGATATGAAGTAATAGATTTTTAATAATATGGTAGAGTATTAAATGAAACCCTATGAGCTTAGTGTATTATGAAACCATTTTTTATTTTTGTAGTATTTGCATGTCAGTAAGTTTTCCTCAAGGATTACATAATGCTACTGGTTCAGTTCAGGTAAAGATGATTTTTTTTGTTGCTCAGAATCCGCAAGAACTTCCCGAGTGTGGTCTCTGGAGACTGCAGAATGTAATAGCATGGTGGACGGACAAACAGATCGGGAAACCAGGATGCTGGCTTATGACTTTGTTGTTGACAACTGGGATATGTTTTAATTCTCATTTTCCCTCTTCTGTAATACTAAAGATTGAAAATGGCTGGTTTTGAAAGTTTCTTTAAGCCCTAAATCTGTTTAATGCCCATGGATGTATTTCCCATTTCAGGCCCTTGGTCAGATTGCCCAGAGGACCATCGGCACTACTTCCCGCAGGCAGATTGAAAATAAAGTTCTAGAGAAGCAAAAGCTATTTCAGGTACTGAAGAATTTTGTAGATTGTTACTTGTAATAATTAAGAGTATCAAAAGGTGAGCTCGGAAGCAGATCTGGAGATGCCTGATTGACAGTGATCCTGATGTATCAGCAAAAGAACAAAAAGACACTGCTGTGAGCTCAGTGTGTCCGAGAGGCCCTGGGGGGGGAGCAGAAATGAGGAGGAAGGAGACATTATTTCGGAGGGGTTACATAGCGTGGGCACTCGGGTAGTTACACAGCGAAAGGCACATAGACCATAGAAAGGGCCCAGAAACAACAAATATATATGTGGAAATTTAATATATGGTAGAGGTGCCATTTCCTATCAGTGGGTAAAGGACACAATAAATTGGTATAGGAAAAATGGGCTGATTTGAAGAAAATAAAAGATGAATTACAGATATAAATGCTGCTTCTTCAGAAAATACTAGAATAAAATACAATATTTTTTCCCTCAGTTTTATTGAGACTTGATTGACAAATAGTTGTATGTATTTAGGTTGTACTTGCTGTCTTTTCTGAGGTCTACAGTGTGGTGCCTAATGTAGCTATTGAATGATGACCACAGTCAAGGTAATTAACACACCCATGGCCTCAACGTGATTTGTGTGTGTGTTAAGAGCACTTGAGACCTTCTTTCTTAGGAAATCTCAAGTATATGATAGTGTTATTAATTATAATCACCATAGGAGAATATTTCTTACGATCTTAAGGGTAGGGAAGTCTTCCTAAGGAAGTGTTTACAAAGCTTAGAAGCTGTAAAAGAAAAATTGCAACGTTTGGTGACATAAAAATTTTTAATGTATTTATGGTTGCAAGAGACAAGTGACAGATGAGAGCAAATTTAAAAATGTAACAAAAGTTTAATATTCTTACTATACAGAGAGCTCCTTCAAATCAATAAGATGTAAACTAAAATGACAAGTTAACTATTTGTTCACCCTAATTAATTGTCAAATTTTTAAAAAGATTTAAAATAAGTTGCTAGCCAGGTGTGTGACATAGGTACGTTCATATGCAGTACTTTCACACATACTAGGTCCTAGTATAATTGGTACAAAGTTTTAGAGGGTATTTGAAATTATCATTAAAAACAAATCACCTTGTCATCTAGGACTCTCACTTTTAAGACTTCCTATAGAAATAGTAGCATAAGTATATAAAAATAGAAAATCTATTAATTATGGGAAGACCCATTAATAGAGGACTGGCCGATTCAATTACAATATTTTTGCACAGTGGAATTCAATGGGGCCATTAAAAGGAACACAGTAGGTTTAAATGGACTGACAGAATGGTTTTTAAACTAGCACTGAGTGAAAAACAGCATATGGTAGACCATTTTATAGCATAAGCTTCCTTTTGTGTATTAAGTATGTATAAATTAGAAGGTATGACAAAATAAGCA